TGCCTGGGATCTATGTGCAGCGTTTTCTGTATGAAATGCTGCACATACAGATATTAAAACCCCTTTGCTGCCAGAATTGTAACTCCACCTCTGGCACCAACATTTGCGTGTCATAAACCAGCCTGGAACAAGTGTCTATGCACTTTTCGTTGCATGCCATTCATTGGCTGAAAGTAGTCAGCTGAGGCACTCAGACAATGAATGGCTGGCGGTGTCAGCTTCTACAGATCTGTGGAAGGCAGACGTTTGTCACCAGACATAAAAGATCCTGTTACTAAAGGGCTTGCCCCTGGGGTACTGGGGAACCAGGACAGGCTAATCCTGGCATCATAACCACTACAGCGGGCTGTAGTGGTTATGGTGCTCGGAGTGAGCTTTTAATTCACTGAGTGGTGACGTAAGAAAGATGTAGGTATTAATACGGGATGGTGCACACTAATAGATTATATCACTTTTCTCATAAGCAAACAATATACAAAGCTCGGTCACTGGAATTCTAAAATTCTACACAATATAAATCACTGTGTGATCCAAACAAAATATGTAACGTTCAGTGTGTAACATTTACCATTTAGAACCTTCATGTTATGATGCAATTCGGCCTTTCTTTTATTCCTGGGTAAAATGATTTCATAGGGAATTTTCTCATCTTCCACGTAGAATCTAAACACAGTAATTATACAGAGTTTGTGCGATTGCTGTGGGTGGGTGTCAGTCAGTCTGATTCCTGGAACACAGCTTTGTTTTGGGAGAGGGAAACTGATGCACCAGTAGAGATTTTAGGTTTAGGCTATTCCATGATTCTGCCATTTTCCCAGTGAAAAAAAGTAATCTGTTGAAATTGTCAACGTCTAATGGGGCCCATGTCTACTATGTCTACATAGTTCATTTTGGCGGCAAAAATAATCAAGTTCGAAAAACAACTGAATGATTTTCCAATTCATTCCATTGGTCATGTCTATAGACTGTAACCTGTGAATAAATTACATGTTTGATGAAATGTGCCAAAAAGGAAGAAAATTATTTACCTGTTTTCAACGCCGAGGAATGGAGGCGGCATGGACTACTCCATAGTTGGTTCAATCCAATGCCTCTTATAGCGTAGCATTGAGAACCTGATGTGCATGTGCAGTGAACATAGAAACATAGAATGTGACGGCAGATAAGAACCATTCGGCCCATCTAGTCTGCCCAGTTTTTTAAATAATTTCATTAGTCAACATTGAATCAATGCTTTCCTATAGGGGGCTTCCCCATCACATAGCCTAATTTTACTCTGTCAATTCTGTGGAAGTGTCTCTATTGGATTTCAGTACGACAGCCACTAGAGATGGACCTAACCCTGCAATGTAAACATTCCATTTAAAAAAAAAAAAAGTGCAATGTTATTATTATTATTATTGCCATTTATATAGCGCCAACAGATTCCGTAGCGCTTTACAATATGTTCAACGTTTCTGGGTTACAACTAAAGGACCACTGCACCCAGACAACTTAATTGAGATTAAGTGGCCTAGGGACTGTAGTGCTGTAGTGGTAAATATATTTTCTGCCATTGGTATTTATTTATTAACAAGAGAATTGAAACTTTTAAGGCAAAATAGCCAAGCTATGGAAATAGCTAAATTGAAGAATGTTTATAGCTATTAAAGGGTTACTCCAAGCACCATGACCACTTCAGTAATTTGTATCAGTATGAAACGCTGCTGCACAGAAGTTCTGAGTGGGTTATGCCAATTATGTGCATATTCTTATCAGCTGACTCTCTCATCCTATGGTGCCTGCAGAAGCTGGAGGTCCATCACTAGTGCCGAAAGGAACCTCGGAGCTCAATGGGTTCCAAGGTCAGAGGGCACACTGTTGCTAAACGGTTTGTCCCATTAAAACAGGGGCCAGGGTACTCATGATAACTACTACAGTGGTTTATAATGACAGATGATGCAAGGACAGTCAATATATAAACGGATTTGTCTTTTACTGCTTTTCACAAATACTTAGCAAGGAACTGCTTTATTTAATAATGGACATTCCTTTGGTCCGTAGACGGCTATCTTATCCGCCATGTTCCTGTTTAAGCCCATCTACAGTCTGGATGTCCGTACTACGTTGCTGCGTGTGTGGTCAATATTTATACTCTGTGTGACAGACTCCTAGAAATATGTGTTATCTTATTTCAGGAGCCCTGCTTATCAGCCAGCCCTTTGCCATGTCATCAGGCCTGAGTGAGACACTTTGTGTCAGAGTTTCTGGAAAGGGCTGATGTCAACGCTCACCAATGTAGCACATTCTACAGACACCACAGGAAATTCCTGTCCTTACATATGCCAGCCTAGAGCTGGATGAGAAGAATCTATACATCCACATGAACGATCAGATTTTGTGATCCATCCTTATAATGTGAACTAATTAAAGGACCACTATAGTGCCAGGGAAACAAATCCCCCCCACCCTCAGGGTCCCACTCCCACTGGGCTTAAGAGGTTAAACGCTTACCTTTCTCCAGCACTGGGCTCCCCCGGCACTGGGGACTCTCCTCCCTCTGCCGATGTCAGCACCCAATGCTCATGCGTGGAAAGAGCCACGCGCATTCTTACAGTCCAGCGTCTTCTTACTGTTATTTTCACAGTGAGAAGCGCGGAAGTGCCACTAGCGGCTGTCAATGAGACAGCCACTAGAGGCTGGATTAACCCTAGTGTAAACATAGCTGTTTCTCTGAAACTGCTATGTTTACAGCTGCAGGGTTAACACTATATGGATCTGACACCCAGACCACTTCATTGAGCTGAAGTGGTCTGGGTGCCTATAGTGGTCCTTTAATAAAAAGGACCACAGTGTGGACTGGAAATGTGTAACATATTTCTGATTGTTGCATTTCGTGACCAGATCTTTGTCACAGGCCAATCACTAATATGAGCTCAAATCCCACTACCCCTCATTTTTTCTCTTCCTTTTTTATAGGAGCTCCAAATTGATGGTGTGTCTGAATATAATAAAGCTTCACAACAATGAGACTCAGTGTAATGTTTCTTTGTATTACACTATTTTCTTAATTTTTCCCCCAATACCTCCCTATTGTAGGGCCAGAGTTGCATAGGGGTGGTAGGAGAACGAGGCTTAGTGAGCAGACCTCCAAACCATCCAGATATCAGCAGACAGTCTCGATTTCGAAAGGACAGTCACGATTTGTGTGTCCTGTCTTGCCGTCCCGGTTTTGTTCCTTGATGTCCAGGATTTGGAGACACCATGGAACTATCTCCAACAAGCATAGTATAAGTGCGTCATTAGTCGCTCTCACGCTATGCTCAGGGCATTAGGACCCTGCAAAGAGCATTGATACAGAGTTCCCTATATTGTCCGCCTTGGTGAGCTGACCTACTTTATTGGTGGGCAGCCTGCATGCATTCACTACAGGCTGATCTGTCAATTTCCAGGCTGGTCCACCTCATTTGGACAGAACCAGTGATGAGAAGAAATCACTGGCTGATTCATTTTGCGGAGGGGGGGTGACAGCGCCACTTTAACCCACCCCATTCAAAAACTGACCATCACTGCTATACAACATGCATTATCCCATCCAACCCCATGGAAAAGCTGATCAAGAGCTCTATACATCAAACGTTAACCAATCACGTTCCATTAAAAAGCTGATCAACAGTACTACACATCAAACATTAATCCATCCTATGCTATTAAAAGCTGAGCAGCAGCGCTATACTTCATACAATAATGCAGAAATCAATGATAAATTCTGACTGCAGACAGTGTATCTCACCAGAAAACAGGAAACTCTTTATAGAGCCAGGGGATGGGCAGAAGATTAGTTCCCATTCAATTACATTAGAAAGGAGACAGAGCAGTCCAGCTTTAGATCGGATTAACCTTAATTACTCGAGTGTGGTCAAATTGTCTTCAACATTTCACAGTTAGCTAAGGCGGAAGGAAGGTGTTTGTAGGAATTTAGATAATGTCCTAAAACGTAATTGAACTTTTTGTTTCCTTAATATAATTGCACCTGAATGGACAAAGTAAATGTCTCCTGTGTTTATTGTACCTCTGTATGGCATTGTGACTTCTTTGTCTCCCGGCATTGTGTCATATCTTGTCTGTATACTGTATCGCTGTATTTTGTGCTATTTTCATAGTAATGAGCATTGTGTATGAGTGTATCACAGAGCAAAAATCGAAAAACCTCACATCCATCTGCAGTGCAGAGTATCACTGAGCGCCACTGCCGAAAAAACTCATGATAGTGTGCCCTCGCTCTGTGTGTACCAATACTTAATCTCTCAGTCAGTAAGGTACCGTAACACAGAGCTTCAAGGCAATTCTCCAGCAATGTTCTGTGTATCACTCCTCAGCAATAAAACTCATTGTGCATTGTATGTATGTATCAGAGACGTCCCCAGCAATGTTACACGCAGTAAAAGATTATTAATATATCTTAAAATAGTAGGAAATGCCCCTTACTATACACCCACAAAACAAAAATGGATTTCTAAGATGAAAGAGATAAGGTCAATGGAAGAACTGATGGCTTTGCTATGTGATGCTATGGATTAATTCCCTGTTTTGAATTAATTCAGGATGGATGGTTTAGCACCTAAATTTCCTGTTTATCTACTTTAGGTTTGGTGGTCTGTGCCCTCATGAGCCAAGCTCGCCTATTCTTTTTCTTCCTCCCTCTCAGTAATGACTGCTGCCCCACTACAAAGTTATGCTATGAATAATGTACCTTTCCCAATTACCGCTGCCCCAACCCAATAATGAGACAGACACCATCTTAAATTGGTTAGGGCATAGGCCACAGCTTTATTTTTGTTAGTGCACAACTTGACAAAAATAAATAAATAAATAAATAAAACCAATTTTACTACCTGCCAGCTGTCGGTTGGCAATCGTCAGGCAGATAACCAGAACTTCTAATACCAGAACTACTCATAAGTTCTATGAGTCCGAAGCGGCCTGTGATTTGCCATCCGCTCCTCCGCAGGCCGTGACTCCCCAAGCTCAATTAGGCAAATGTTCTTGACCGTACTGGTACGCTGACAGGGAGCACCACTGCTGTTACAAAACAAAAACAGAACACAACAAGCAAAGACAACACACTGAAATACGTCACTGGGCAGAAAACCAGCTCATCCTTTTTTGATTTCTCTTCAGCCCACTGGTAAACCTACCCTTTCTCTACCCTTATATTCACCCGCCAACATTTTGGAACATTATAACCGTGTCCCCACATAACCAGGCTCCCCCAGCTCCGTCTGCAGCAGTCATGATTGCCCTCTCCAAGTGTCAGGCGTTGTCTTCCTCTGTGTCCCTATATTTCCTGAATATTTGTATTAATCTGTACTGTACCATGCATCTAGAATACTGAAAGAATGCGTATTGTGCTGGGATTACCTGATTACATAAACGACTATGAGTAGGTCAACGTTAAGGAAGTGTCACACTCACACCCCCTGACCACTCCCTGCAAAACAAAGATATGAAGCTATTCGTGTAATAACTGTTTGCAACAGTGTCATCCAAGTTTCACATTCCATAATGCTCATAAACTGTATACATATGTATATCTATAAATACCTCTTGTGTTTGATCCAGTAGATTTCAGCTTAATCTGTTTACGTTTTAACCCCGTGTGAGCTGGGCAGGTTTTCCCAAACCACTGGGATGCCAAGCAAGTCTTTGGTAGATGAAGTGTTAAACATGTATGATCGAAAGGTGATTATCAAACAGGTTCTGTGCCTTGGGATTTAAGGTGTATAACAATCTAAATATAGCCATCCGTGACCTGCTTTCTCACAGATACCTTTATCCTTAGTCTAGTGATAGGAATGACTCATAGTCATCACTAATAGCAAGCCAGGGTTGTAAATCCCTATCCGCCCAATTTACAGGAGATAAAGAGAAAAAAAACACCTTTCTTTAAATTGCTTCCATGCTCTAAGCATGTATGTGTAATGAGATATTCAAAGTATTGCACAGAAATTCACTTATATGCCAGGTATTCTTACGTTGTTTTTTTTTTAGCCCAGATCCAAAGGGAACAGCACTATCTGTCAACCTGTATCTTGTAGTTTGAAAATAACATGCGTTCCCTTGGATGCAAGTGACGTAACATCAGCAATAAACTCTGACTAATTCTATGCACCGCACAGGAAAGCGTTCAGATCTGCTGATTGGCGCCGGGGTCAGAAAAGTGTCACCACAATGTTATACACTAAACAATTATTACGTTTGGATTGTAGTTTTTATTTAATTTAAATAACACTGGGGAGAGTTGTTCACTCGTTAGAAAATTGTGATGAATTGACACGCAAACTGCACTTTTGTTTTGTCAATATATTTTAACTGGAGAAATTTTAGAATTTGGATTTTTTTTTCGAGATTTGCTATTCGGGCCTATAATCTGCAATTCTCTTGCTTCTTCTTCACAGTTGACAGTTATGTTGAACAAAACCCTGTTACTGTATTTTTTTATTTTTTTTTTACAAACAGAGATGTAGTTTAGCAGGTTCCCGTTTGGGACCTATCAAAATAAATAAAAAAGTCATTTATCCTGTCCGACAGCCTTGGTGAACATACAGAATAGCGTAATGAATATGTTATACTGTCATAATGTCATAATAATAATAAACATAATTATACTATAAACATATTTAAATGTGTCAGTCATAGGAACCCAGCCGAAAGCATATATAGGTTTCAGCCTGAGAATTAAGTGAGTCAGATGACTTTTTCGTTAATCGGAACTCTGAGACAGAAAGGATAAAATGCCAAGAAGGTTAATAGGTGTCTACATGAATAATTATAAAACCAGGTAATGAAGAGCAGGTTTACAACCAAGATTATCCACTAAACTGTGAATTCATGAGAAATTTCCAATTTTATTTGTTAATCATTTCTTTTCAATAATTTGTTGTGTATTTCTATCATTTGGTTCCAGATTTTAGCCACACTTTTCCGTGTGTATTGAAATGCGGTCTGTATTTAAGGTAATATGGAATCTGTCAGGAATATTTATTAAAGTAAGAAGCACAGCAAATTCAAAGTGAATTTCATATTTAAAGGGACACTAGAGGCACCCAGACAACTTTAGCTAAAATTGAAGTGGTCTAGGTGCAGTGTCCCAGACCCCTTAACCCTGCAATTGTAATTATTGCAGTTTTTGATAAACTGCAATAATTAACCACATTTATCCAAGTGAACCATTTTTCCAGTTTGGCTACTGGGGCCTTAAATTTAAAGTTCACTTTGAATTTCCCATAACCCTGTTGGGGTTATCCGCTAAAGTTTGCATTTTGGACAGCAACATCCAGACATTGTTCGCGCTATGAAGTTTTGCATTTAATTTAGAATTTTGCAATTCAGACCCCGAACAAGTCTAAATTTTGTTCGGACGTCTGCTGGATGGAGCAATGCTGAATGGCGGAAATACTGTCCGAATACTTTAAATGCTTAAAACAAATAAATAAAACTATTAAAAGTTTGGATTTTTAAAATAGCTAAAGACTCTCTGCCCAGCTCTTCCTCATGCTACAATGAAATCGGCAATTTTATAAACTGTTACAAATATGATAGACTCCAGACACATAAAGAACTTCAGAAAGCTGAAGTAAGTGCTTGATGTGTCTGTGTTCCTTTAAAAGTAGATGCAAGGTTTAAGCGGTATAACTCCAAGTTTCTTCTCAGTACTGCACCAGCCCTTTCTGAGACTGTTCTCCAACCAAAGTAATAAAAAAACAAAACCTGATAACTTTGTGAGGCTTAATGGCCACAGCTTTATTACATATAATAACGTTATGCCAGCATCCTAAGCGTCACCCATTAGAAAGCAGAGCAGACTCCCTGGCGAGGAACAACAAACCACAGCTGCAACATGATAGAATGAATAAGGGAAGGGGAGGAGAGTGAGAAACAAGCACATAGCAATACATTGTCTGTCAAATGACAGATCCCCTTTAACCCCTTAAGGATCAAACTTCTGGAATAGAAGGGAATCATGACATGTCACACATGTCATGTGTCCTTAAGGGGTTAAAGAGCATATGTCACTTTGGAAATACAGCATTGAAAACAACATTGAAAACAACATGTAACGTGTGTTAAAGGGACACTCCAGTGCCAGGAAAACAAACTGTTTTCCTGGCACTGCAGGTACCTTCTCCCTTCCACTACCCATCCCATGTTGCTGGAGGGGTTAAAACCCCTTCAGTGACTTACCTGAGACCCCCGCCGATGTCCCTTGGCGGTTGTTTCGGGTCTGCCCACGCTCCCCCCCCCCTGCCGATGTCATCCGGCGGGGGAGACCGATCGCGCATTCGGGGCCATCGGCGAGGGAGACCTAATGCGCATGCGCGGCAATGACCTCTCCATAGGAAAGCATTGAAAATGCTTTCAATGCTTTCCTATGGGGAATTGAGCAACCCTGGAGGTCCTCACACAGCGTGAGGACGTCCAGCGACGCTCTAGCAAACCTGTGCTAGAAACCCGGAAGTGCCCTCTAGTGGCTGTCTAGTAAAAAATAAAAGGGATTAGCATATTGCACAGATATGAGCAGTGCATAGGACAAAACGATTGCGTTTCTGGATGCTTCAGAAATATTTTTTACAGAAAGGTGGGACGCTAGAGGTGGGCTTTCAGCAGAGATTGTAAGGTAACCCGTAGATCAGAAATCTTGTCACAGCTTTCCATTTTTTTTTTGCATTATGATATCATAGCTCTTCTCTCCATCGCTTCCTCTTTTAATAAAGTACTTTTGGGAACATGCATCACCTGCTAAGTGTTTCGTAGATTTCAAGTCCTACAGGGCTATTTACTAAACTGAGAATTCAAAGTGAATTCCAAATCTACGGCCAGAAAAGCTGACTGCAAGCAAAGCTGATTTAGATACTTTTTCCAGTTTGTTTATTAATTTTCACATTAGTGAATAACCCTTTCTGATTGCGTATTTCAACATTATTTTGTCAGTTAATTACTTGTTGCCAAATAACACATGGTATAATTATAAAGTGCTGCGGAAAATGCTTAGCCAATATAAATGCTAATAATACTACTAATGATCATTACTTCCCCTGCATTATGTGCTTTCCATCCTGTATTAAGATGCAATGGCTCTCCCTTGCAGGATGATGTCATCACTGACCTCTATTGTTTACTCTCTCACCATGACATCACAATAGAGTAAAGGGATGACATCATCCTTCAATATGGTTTCATGCACCTTCTCTGGATTATACTTCAATGACTTCACTAGCATTATAAGGCCGTGGCTACTTACCTGCCTTATGTGTTTTCCCCTTTGTGCTAAGTTTGTATTGTTATTATTATTTATAAAGTGCAATCACATTGCGAAGCGCTGCACGATCGGTGGATTAATAAAAATAATATTTGGACATACAGTAGGAGAAGGTAGCAAGTGCTCTGTGCAAATGAACTTGCTTTCCAAGGGGAATGACGTATAGTTACACAAAAAGGAAAAAAGTCTTTATGATGTCTCATTTGACCTTTGCATTATGATGTCATTAAGACCTCTTTATTATATTTTGCCCAACCCCACAATATTATGATGTCATGACCTCCCTCTCCATTATAATGCCATTGTTCTTTCCTCAGTGGATTTTCCTGTATTATGTTGAAATGCTCTCTCCACTCTATTTTGGTACCATAACTCTGCATTGTATTGTTATGGTGCCCCCTTGTACTGCGAAGTTGTGACACTCTCTGCATTATGATGTCTTTGGTGTAATGGATCCACTATACTCCGAATGAGTATATCCGTTGTGATTTTCCCATTTCCCATGCAAAGCAGTGATTAGAGCTCTTGATTACCCAAACATCAGCCAAAACTTGATGAAGGGTACAACAGGATCTATTTATTGAAGACGAGATACACAGTATTTACGCTCCATCCACAGTAATGTAAAACATAAGCCTGCCCCAGCGTCTCTGTGCCTGGGAGATAATTTTATCTCCCTGATACAGGAAGCCGACACACAAAAACCCACAAAATACACAGAACACAGTAATGCATCCCCACGTGCCCTACATCCCTGTTCCCTGCAAATTTCGGAGTGATTGGATGTACAGAGCCCGAGAAATCATTGTGTAAAGTATGGGCTCGAGGCTCAGTAAACACCCAAAAACAGTTTCACAAGATCACTTGGTTTAAACCAGTGAAAGCAGCGGCCAGTCGTGAGAT